CATCAGCAGCACCTGGAGCCTTGGTAAAACAGACTCCTGGGCCTCAACCCCTGAGTTTCTGATTCAGTAGGTATAGGGTCTAGGGTAGGGCCTGAGAATCTGCATTTATAACCAGTTCCTTAGCAGTGCTGCCGGTCCAGGGACCACTGTTTGAGAACTATTGCTCTTGTGTCTGAGCAGGGAGTAAGTACCCTCATCTAGTCATTCCCTTCACTTTACTTACAGGGGAGAATACAGGCTCAGAGAAGGAACTGCCTTCCCAAGGTCCCACAGTCCAGGATGACAGCCCAAGTGTCTTCCTATCTGCTCAATGATTTAAATACACGACAGCTATTTTTAGGACATTTTGTTAGCTAAGCCTTGCAGATTGGCATTTGCTTACATTGCTTGCAAAAATTTTTAAAGGCCATTGGACAATCAGTTACAGGAGAATAAATATGATCTATACTTTCTGTCATGTCGTCAAGTAGGTCCTGGAAGAACACGCATTAAGGAAGGGGCACATGGGAGCATCTCTCTCTAAGACGCTGTTTGAAGTGTTCTACATGTGTGACCTCACTGAATCCACACAACAACCCTATCAAGTGGATAATGTACTTTTAGTATCTTGGCTTACAGATAGGAAAATGGAAGCACGTGAAGAGTAAACGTTTGGCAGAGCTTGGATTCAAATCCAGGCAATCTGACTTTAGAATTTGTATTCCTAATCACTTTGTTATACTGCTTCAGTCTTTAGTCTAAAAATCGCGCTGGTATGAAAAGGGCGTCACTATCCCTTCATTAGGGACAGCTGTCGTGAGGCCAAGAGAGTAACACACAGTCCCTCAACCCAGTACAGTACAGTGGTTCTCAGTCCTGTGTGTTGAAATCAACTGGAGAGCTTAAAAAAAAAATGTCCTGGCCTGATTCGTATGTATGAAGGAAGGTTGAGAACCACCGACTGAATAGTTCAGAGGGTAGGCGGAGGAGAGGGCTAGGGAGGATATGAAACTGAAAACTTTGCTGCTTCGATAGAGCTGTTCAGTTGCCGGAACCAGTATCATTTGTAACATGTACTAATTCTTTGTTCTGATTTATATTTCAGTTTAAATTTGTGGGGCTAAAGAATTTCCCTTGTACCCCTGAGAGCCTGTGTAAGATGCTTTCTATGGATTTCCCTTTTGAGGTAACAAAACTATTGTCTTTACTGCCTTGACATGATTGTAGGATACAGGGGGACTTAGTTACACAAGATCTTAAAATATCTGCTGACTTTGCTGTGTCAAAGCATCAGAAAGGGACTGAAAGCTGATCTGGGGAGAGGATGTGCTCGCTGCCTTCGGAGCCTCAGCTCCACTGCCGTGGGCTGTGTCAGGATGCCAGAGCTGGAAGCCCTGAACGGAGAGCTCATCTGCTCCCTCATTTTATAGATGGGGAAACTGAGGCCCAGAGAGGGGCAAGGACTTCTGTTCCCAGGTCCTTCTTGTGTGCCTCTCCTGCTCCCCTCTTCAGGCTCAACAAGCAGGTTTGCCTTTGCCCATCACACCCTTTAAAATTCTGCCTAGTCACCTACAAGGATTTGCTTGGACTGGATATAGTTTCATAAAAGGATCACAGCTTCCCAAGTGAGGAAAAGGCTGAGTTGCCTGTATTTCTGGGAGTCAATTAAGAAGGTGGTAAGAACACCATCTTTATTTATAACCTTATGCCCCAGTGACAATAAATGCTTTTTAGAGATGAGTCACTGAATCACAGAAAAGAAAATGTGGGACTGCAGGAGGTCTTCCCGTTGAGGAAAGCTGAGTTTCCCAGAACACGGCTTGCAAACAGTTCAGGGGGAGGCGTAGGCAGCCAGCGGTAGCGGGGGAGCAGGCCTTCTGGACAGCCTGTGTCCCTGTGTCAGCAGTCCAGTGCCACCGAGGGGCCGTCCAGCTCGCCCACTTTGTGTTCCCTGCACGGAGCTCGCCCACGCCGCGCAGACCTCTTGGTGGAAAGTATGTGGAATCTGGGGACAGAAGACCTGGGTTCGAGTTCAATTTCTGCTTCTTACTCACTGTGTATTTTTAGGGCTCCCTGAGTCTGAGCAGCCCTATTCTCTCTGATGCTCTAGGAGAGTACCTTGTAAACAGGAAAATGCTATTTATGTTTGTATTTTCTAAAATTTAGTTTTCCGGGCCATTTCTTCATGTGAGAAGTGAGGACTCTTTTTCCTCTGTCAGTGACGCAGAAAAAGGAGTTGGACCATAAGAGCTGTCCCTGTGTGTATAGGCTCGCCTGGAAACACGGTCCCAGAGTCATTTTGATCCTTAATTCCCCCTCTTGTAGGTGGATGGACTTCTCTTCTACCACAAGCAGGCTCACTATAGCCCCGGAAGCACTCCCTTGGTGGGCTGGCTGCGCCCCTACATGGTGTCAGATGTCCTTGGCGTCTCTGTGCCGGCTGGCCCACTAACCACCAAGCCAGAATACGCTGGGCACCAGCTCCAGCAGATTATTGAGCACAAGAGGAGCCAGGAGGGCACGAAGGAGAAACTCACACACAAGGCCTCTGAGAATGGGCACTATGAGCTGGAGCACCTGTCAACCCCCCAGCTGAAGGGTTCTCCCCGTAGCCCTGAGCACACTGGGAGCCTCATGGAGAACTAAAGAGGGCAGCCTCGTTTTAGGAATCACAGGATGGTACCTGGCCCCAGAAGGAAGACTGGGGAAGGAGGACAGTGACAACAGGTGACTTCATTTTAGAGTGGACTTTCCAAAGCCACTCTAGCTTACCTCCTGTCTGAAATGCTGGCTCTAAGAACTGGGGGGCAGTCCCAGATGGGGTGGCATTCGGATTGATTGGAACAGCTCCTTCCTTGACAAGTGTATCCCATATCTACAATGTAAATATACGTAATTCTTAAGAAGTTGTTTGTGATTCTTTTTTTTTTTCTTTTTTGATCTCAAGATCATTGAGTAAGTTTGTGATTCCTAAGCTTCTTAAGCTTTAGGCCACTGTGCACCTCCCCTCCGCACCCCACGCCCCAGGCTGCTTAAACCCTGACTGTTCAAGTCCTGGCCCATCTCACTCTTTCTGGAGCTCATTCTGCTGAGTTTCCAGTTGCTGCTGTTGGTAATGTCATTTTCTGCAAGGTCTTACCAGGAACTGCAGTTCTTGGTATTTGAATGTGTTCCCTCTTCTGAGAAGGCAAGTGTGATTTCTTTGGTTTAGACAGAGCCAGAGATAAAATGCAAATGGAGTTCATTCATTCAACAAATGTTTGAGTTCCCGCCAGGAGGTAAGCCTTATGCTAGGCGCCTGTGATGCAGAGCTGGCTATGGAGGTAGACAGGACTCAGTGCCCGCCCTTGACGACTGCACAAGCCAGTGGGAAAATCAGCCCACCAGTATACAGAGCACAGCAAGATGGTGAGATGATTACTTAAGTGCAGACAGGTGCATAGAGCATGGCGGCCAGGAAGAGCGGAGGGGGGCTTTGCACAGGCAGTTAGAGCTGGGCTGAGGCTCTGAGAAGGGACACAAGTGTGCTCTGCAGACAAGGAGGGGAGGAGTTCCTCACGGATGCAGGAGGGCATGCAGCTGCACGCCTCTGCGCAGGGCAAGTCTTGGTCTGGAAACTGAATTAGGCTCGGCATAGCTCAAGTATAAAGTAGGATTAGAGACCTTGGGAGAGGAGGCTGGAGAAAGAGGTTTTAGATTTTATGTCATGAATGTAAGGGAGCCAAGGAAGAGCTTTGAGCAGGCATGGTCCTTTCAGATTTGTGAACTGGATCTCTGTGGCAGCTGTGGGATTGGAAGATGGTATCTGAGACAAATCAATTAGTTTTTGCCCTGTGTTCAGAAAATGGGTCCCGTTTCTGTGGCCTCAGTCTGCTCTCCACACTGCTTCCTATCGCTCCGGGACGTCTCTTACTGGACACAAGGACTTTGCCATTCCCCTTGGCAGCACTGGTATCCTGTGGACAAAGTTTCACAAGGATCTGGGTCAGGTCTTGTCTGACATGCAATTGTCCCTTTGTGTCGACTAGTCCTAGAAACAGATCTGGGCAGAAATAGTAGTTAAGCGGAGCCTCTTGACACAACTTCAGCACATCCTGAGGAACTAGTCTCAGCATTGGCTCTTGGAGCTCTCAAGCCGACTCCATAAAACTGGAGAAGGAAGAAACCCGCCCCACACTCACCCGGTGGTGATCCTGCTAGCTGCAGATTCGAGCATTTGCCTACATCAATAGACTCTTTCCTGAATTTAGGTCAATTCTTCAATAGGAACGCTGTGTTCCTCTTGCCAAGGAGCATGTTGTAGGCTGCCTGGATGTTTAGTCTCTGCCTGATCTGAGTGCTCTCAGCAGCCAACTGTATCCATTCAGGAGCCGTGCTTGCTAGCGTCCATAGTGAATGGGCCACACTCTGCTCAGAAATTAGATCTGGAAGGACTGCTTCCCCAAGGGCACTCTCTGGGGACAGATGCATGAGTCAAAGGACATATCAACCAAACTTACCAACAAGCATAACTTGAAAGTGTTGAATGGTAGCTTGAAGGACTTGCCTCAGAGCGCTCCTTACATTTTTAACAGAGGAGTCAGTATTTATCTGTCCATCACTGAATAGCAATGTGACTCTCCTATACTTCTTTAGGAATTATAAAACCACCTCTTGCCACCTGTTTCAAAGATGGTTGTTTTATAGCTTGCCGTGATTGGATATTAGTTTTCTGGCCAGCCCTCTGAACAGCTTCCCAGTATGGTTGGGTGGGACTATAGTCTGTGGTAATTGCCTTCCTTTAGCCCAATTTCAGGCTCGTGACTCAAGGTGGGCCAGTCGCATGCTCCTCACCAAGTACTTGTATCTCGAGCAGAGGAACAAAGAGGGTATGAGTTGGAATTCATTTATTTTGCTGGGGTGTGGGTGTGTGTGTGTGTGTGTGTGTGTGTGTGTGTTTCTTTTTCTTGCTATGAAACCCATGAGCATCCAGGAAATTCCATCTTGCTCAATTAGCCAGAGCTGGTTTCTGGGCTTGCAACCAAAGAATCCTAACTGATAACCATTGCCCAGTGTGGCCTGCCTTGCTTACCTTGACTGGAGGGCCAGCTTGGCATGAATCAGCAAGGAACTGCTATTTGAGATCACCTATTTCATTGCAAGTGCCACCAGAACCCACGTACCAAGAAAAAACAAGGCTTTTCAAGCAACAGATACAAAATAAGTTTTTTGTTTGTTTGTTTTTAAGAGATGGGTTTTCGCTATGTCATCCAGTCTGGAGTGCAGTGGCCATTCGCAGGTGCAATCACAGCTCACTGCAGCCTCGAATTCCTGGGTCCAGTGATCCTCAGGCTCCCGAGTAGCTGGGGGGACTCTAGACATGTGCCACCATGCTCTGCTAATTTTTAAAAATTTTTTCAGAGACGAGGTCTTGCTATGTTTCTCAGAGTCTTGGTTATTTTAATGTTAGAAAAGTCATGCTGGGTTCCAATGCCTGCAATGGAAGAGTTTGTGTCAACACTAGTATTTGGCAGTGAGTAATCTACCTTTGTGGTTTCTCCTCTTGCTCACTTCTCATTCATTGTCTATCCACTTATCCACTGAAATCTTTTTTTTTTTTTTTTTTGAGACAGAGTCTTGCTCTGTCACTCAGGCTAGAGTGCTGGTGGTGGCAGCCTAGCTCACAGCAACCTCAAACTCCTGGGCTCAAGCGATCCTCCTGCTTCAGCCTCCCTAGCAGCAAGGACTACAGGCATGCGCCACCATGCCCGGCTAATTTTTTCTGTTTTTGGTAGAGACAGGGTCTTGTTTTTGCTCAGGCTGGTCTCGAATTCCTGACCTTGAGTGATCCTCCCGCCTCGGCCTCCCTGAGTGCTGGGATCACAGGCGTGAGTCACTGCACCTGGCCTACCCACTGAAATCTGACTTCTGTTCCCACCATTTCAAGTGCTCTCATCAAGGAACCGGTAGTCTCCTGTTTTCCAGATCTAAGGGAATATTTCTAAGGAATATTTCCCAGGCTTTCTCTTACCTGACTTCAGCTGCCATCTATGTGCTGACACCTTCCCTCCAGATCTGGGTATCTATCTACTTAGCAGTCATCTCCCAGTCACCTCAAACTCAGCATGTCCCAAATTGAACTCTGCCTCCCCGCTCAGCTCCCCTCAGTCATGTTCTTCCTGGGATCCTTGTCCTTGTTAACGGCACTTAGTCACCCAAGCTAGGAACCTGACAATCATCATTCTGATGATTCCTGTCCATTTCTTACCTTTCGCAGCTTCTGAGTCACCATGTCCTTTAATTCCTACCACTCTCTTCTCCATTTCCTCCGCAGCCTAAGGCCTTAATTCAGGCCTTCATCATCTCTCTCCTGGGGTACTGCCAGAGCCTCCTACCTACTTTCCCTGCCACCATCGTTTCCCTCCTCTAACCCACCCCTGCCATGGGAAAGTAATCCTTTCTAAAAACGCAAATCCGATCTTGTTACTTAAAGGATGTGCAGTTGCCTACAGGACACATGGGAAACTTCTCAGCCTGCCATGCAGGCTTCTTCATGACCTGGCTTTAGCATCTCTCTCCAGCCTTATAAATTACCCGGCTTCCTTTGCTGCCCACTTTTCAGCAATGCTGCTTTACAGTGCTCTATACAAGCACATCTGTCTCCTACTTCTTTCCCACACCATCCCTTTTCTTTCTGACTGCATTCACCTAGTGAATATACATAGTCATCTTTGAAAGACTGTTCAAGAGACACCTGTTTGAACCTTTTCCTCTGCAGGTAGAACAGCCATTCTCATCTTCATGTGCTCCCCGTCCATACAGCCCGCTGTCACAGTGATTGCGATGCTTGATCACAGTAATTTATTTACATGTCTATTTCCCAAATCTAGGGACTAGTCCACAAGACCACCCTCACTTCTGACACCAGTTACAAGTTTGGGGCCCCCGAGACTACCCTCAGATTTGATAATTCACCAGAAGGACTCACAGTCCTCATTGAAAGCTGTTACAGTCACAGTCACCGTTTATTACAGAGTAAAGTCAGCCAAGGATAGAGATGCATGGGGCAGAATCCAGGAAAGTTCCAAACTCAGAGCTTCCAGTTGTTCTTTTCCAGTAGAATCATGGACAAAGTTAATTTTCCCAGTAACTATACTCACAGAGTATTGCCAACCAGGGAATCTCACCTGCGCCTTACTGTGCGAAGTTTTTACTGGGGCTTGGTCACAGAGACCTGGTTCTTTGCCCTTGTGACTGACCTCAGTCTGCAGCCCCTCCATAAGTCTAGCTGATAAAGTGTGATCCAAAGTACCCCCTGTCCTCCATCACATTGTCAGACTATCTGGTATAGCCCAAAGACCCCAGCCTAAATCACGCTGTTCAGACTATCCAGTGTGGCCTGAGGCCTGTCCCCAGGCAAACAAAGATACTTTTATCAGGCAGGACATTCCAAGGGCTTAGAGGTTACCTCCCAGGAGCCAAGAGCAAAGGCCAGCCTTCTCTTTGGACAAGGTTAAATTCACTCCTTCTGTTAGTTAACAAGTTCCATGAGGTAAGGAGCCTGGTCTTAGACATTTTTAGACCCCCAGTGCATGGCATTATGCTTGGCACTTATGTGTCAATAACTTGATTGGCCAGGCGTGGTGGCCCATGCCTGTAATCCTAGATTGTTTCGTTCCCTCCTCCAATGTATGTAGTGAGTTTTTAGGCTATCCTTTTAGTTGCATTCACAGAACTAAATATGGTTCTTATCCTTGGAAGTCCGTAGCATATCCAATCACCTGTTATCAATCAGCCACCTACTTCCATTCAGTCTTCTCACCAGGGTCACTGTGTCCAGCAGAGGGGAGGAAGGGCTCTCCTCTAGATTGCATTCTCATTCCTGCTGATCCTTTCTTCATTCACTCAATCAACAGTTATTTATTTT